TGAACCGCTGTGAGTCGCCTTCAGGCTTGAGATACAGCGGTATAGAAGCAAAGTAAATAAATAAATAAATAATTATATTATTATATTATTATACTTTTATTATATTATTGTTATATTACATTATTGCTGTTATAATTATTTATATTGTTATATATTATTATGTTATATTATATTATTATTATACTATTATTATAATAATTATATTACATTATTATATTACATTATTGCTCTTGTAATTATACATTACATTATTATATTATTATACTATATTATTATTATTATTTGTACTCTGCAAAGGAAACTGGAAGCAGTATTCAAGCTTTTATAATATATTATTATTATATTACATTATTGCTATTATTTTTATTTATATTATATTATTATACTATCATTACATTATTATTATTATTATTATTATTATTATTATTATTATGGACACAAAAGCACAGTATGTCACAGCAAACAAGATCTATATGCTGGATTTCGTATCAAAAAATCACCAGTTGAACACTTCCCAAGTATCTAGGACTGCGTGATTTTATTATTATTATTATTATTATTCCGCAAATTTATTTTATTTGTTTTATTTACCTTACTTCTATACCGCTGTTCTCAGCCCAAAGGCGACTCACAGCGATTCACAACAAATACGAACAGCAAAAATTCAGTGCTACAGTATAGATACAGTTAACAACCTAACACATAACACAATTAATAAACAGTTACTACAATACCCATTCACTGTCGTCTCGTCATCAAAAACATGTTCCAGATTCGTCTTCCATTGTTCCATTCCAGTGTTCATTAACCAATCATTGCACTAATTATTGGAACGCCTGCACAAACATCCAGGTCTTCACCTTTTTGCGGAATACCATTAGAGATGGTGCTAGTCTAATGTCCGTAGGAAGGGCGTTCCACAGCCGAGGAGCCACCACCGAGAAGGCCCTATCAATTTGTTCGCCCTCATCCAGACCGTCACAGCGGCCAGGCACCGGTTCAGGACCTGGTCAGCCTCCTTAGTAGCAGGTGGAAAGGAGTGACAGAGTTGGACATCATCCGCGTACAGATGACACCGTACCCCGAAACTCCGGATGATCTCCCCCAGCGGCTTCATGTAGATGTTAAACAACATGGGAGACAATATTGAGCCCTGAGGAACCCCACAATTATATATTATTATACTATTATATTACTATTTTAATATTACATTATTAGGTAATAATATACCATTATTATTATGTTACATTACTACTTTTATAATTATTTATATTGTTATTATATACTATTATATTATAGTATTATTATTTATATTGTTATTATATACTATTATATTATATTATTATACTATATTATTATTATTATTATTATTATTATTATTATTATTTGTATTCTGCAAAGGAGACTGGAAGCAGTTTTCAGGCTTATATAATATTATTATATTACATTATTATATTATACTATATTATTATTATATTACATTATTATATTACATTATTGCTGTTATAATTATTTATATTGTTATTATATACGATTGTATTATATTATTATACTATAGTATTATTATTATTAATATAATAATAATAATTATTATTAATATAATTTGTACTCCGCAAAGGAGACTGTGAGCAGCTTTCAGGCTTATATAATATTATTATATTATATTACATTATTATATTATATTATTATAATACAATATTATTATTATATTACATTATTGCTGTTATAATTATTTATATTGTTATTATATATTACATTATTATGCTATATTATTGTTACTATTATTCCTCCACAAAGGAGACTGAAAGCAGTTATCAGGCTTATATAATATTTTTATATTACATTATTATATTATAATATAATAATGTAATATAATATTATATCATTATTATACTACATTGTTATTATATATTATTATATTGTATTATTACATTATAATATTATAGTACAATATAATAATGTAATATAATAATATTATATCATTATTATACATTATTATATATTATTATATTGTATTATTAAATTACATTATTATGTTATAATATGATAATGTAATATAGTAATATTATATCATTATTATACTACATTATTATTATATTGTATTATTAAATTACATTATTATATTATAATGATGTAATATAATAATATTATATCATCATTATACTACATTATTATTATTATTATATATTATTATATTGTATTACTAAATTACATTATTATATTACAATATAATAATGTAATATAGTAGTATTATATTGTAATGTAATATTATAACATTATTATACTACATTATTGTTATTATATATTATTATATTGTATTATTAAATTACATTATTATATTACATATTATAATAATGTAATATAATAATATTATATGATTATTATACTACATTATTATTATATATTATTATATTGTATTATTAAATTACATTATTATGTTATAATACAATACTGCAATATAGTAATATTATATCATTATTATGCTACATTATTGTTATTATATATTATTATATTGCAGTATTATGTTATTATACATCATTGTTATTATTATTATTACTATTATTTACACTCTGCAAAGGAGGCTGGAAATTATTATATTACAGTATTGCTGTTATAATTATTTATATGGTTATCATATATTATACTTTTAGATTGTTATATTATTATAGTATTATATTATTATTATTATATTATTATACTATATTATTTTTATCATAATCATTATTATTATTATTACTATTAATTATTATTTATTATCATTATTATTATTATTATTATTATTATTATTATTATTATTATTATTATTATTATTATTATTATACTGGAAGCAGTGTTCAGGCTTCTGGGTTCATTGCTGAGCTGGTGCCAATGCCCAACCAATAGGGGGCGGTCCCTCTGGCGGAGAGGCGGGGACTCCACCTTGGCCCCGCCCCCTCGGCCTTCCCCAGGCGTTTCCGCTTCCGGCGTGAAGCAAGATGGCGTCTCCTGTGGAGTTCTTCTGCTGGCCGGGCGGCTGGGGGCTGCCTTCGGTGGACCCTCCCTGCTTGGCTGTCCTGGTGGGTCTCGGAGAGGGCCTTGTGGGGTGGGGAGGGGGCTTCTGGAAGGGGCCTTGACGCTCTCTCTCTCCTTCCTGCTCTTTCCCCAGGCCTACGCGCGCTTCACGGGGGCGCCCCTCAAGGTGCACAAGGTCAGCAGCCCCTGGAGGAGCCCCTCAGGTGAGCAGGCCCAAGCGGGGTGGGCTGGGCTTGGTGGGCCAGTTCTGGCAGGTCATTCCAATATTTTGGGAAGGCTGAAGAAAACATCCTTAAGAGAGAATCCTAGAATCAAAGAGTTGGAAGAGACCTTTGCATTCAAAGCACCCCTGACAGATGGCCATCCAGCCTCTGTTTAAAAACCTCCAAAGAAGGTGCCTCCACCACACTCCGGGGCAGAGAGTTCCACTGCTGAACAGCTCTCACAGTCAGGAAGTTATAGAATCATAGAATCAAAGAGTTGGAAGAGACTCATGGGCCATCCAGTCCAACCCCCTGCCAAGAAGCAGGAATATTGCACTCAAAGCACCCCTGACAGATGGCCATCCAGCCTCTGTTTAAAAGCCTCCAAAGAAGGAGCCTCCACCACACTCCGGGGCAGAGAGTTCCACTGCTGAACAGCTCTCACAGTCAGGAAGTTTAGAATCCTACAATCAAAGAGTTGGGAGAGACCTGTTGGGCCATCATCCAGTCCACCCCCGTTCTGCCAAGAAGCAGGAATATTGCATTCAAAGCACCCCTGACAGATGGCCATCCAGCCTCTGTTTAAAAGCCTCCAAAGAAGGTGCCTCCACCACACTCCGGGGCAGAGAGTTCCACTGCTGAACAGCTCTCACAGTCAGGAAGTTATAGAATCCTACAATCAAAGAGTTGGGAGAGACCTGTTGGGCCATCATCCAGTCCACCCCCGTTCTGCCAAGAAGCAGGAATATTGCATTCAAAGCACCCATCCAGCCTCTGTTTAAAAGCCTCCAAAGAAGGAGCCTCCACCACACTCACTCCAGGGCAGAGAGTTTCACTGCTGAACGGCTCTCACAGTCAGGAAGTTATAGAATCCTAGAATCAAAGAGTTGGGAGAGACCTGGTGGGCCACTTCTGGCAGGTCATTCCACTATTTTGGGGCAGCTGAAGAAAACATCCTCAAGAGAGAATCCTAGAGTTGGTGGGCCATCATCCAGTCCAACCCCATTCTGACAAGAAGCAGGAATATTGCATTCAAATCACCCCTGACAGATGGCCATCCAGCCTCTGTTCAAAGCTTCCAAAGAAGGAGCCTCCACCACACTCCAGGGCAGAGAGTTCCACTGCTGAACGGCTCTCACAGTCAGGAAGTTATAGAATCCTAGAATCAAAGAGTTGGGAGAGACCTGGTGGGCCACTTCTGGCAGGTCATTCCACTATTTTGGGGCAGCTGAAGAAAACATCCTCAAGAGAGAATCCTAGAATCCTAGAGTTGGTGGGCCATCATCCAGTCCAACCCCATTCTGCCCAGAAGCAGGAATATTGCATTCAAATCACTCCTGACAAATGGCCATCCAGGCTCTGTTTCAAAGCTTCCAAAGAAGGAGCCTCCACCACACTCCGGGCAGAGAGTTCCACTGCTGAACGGCCCTCACAGTCAGGAAGTTCTTCCTCGTGTTCAGATTATTATTATTATTATTATTATTATTATTAAACTTTATTTGTACCCCGCTAGCATCTCCCGAAGGAGATGCTAGCACTGCATCCTGTCAGATCCCCAAAATCTGGAGGAAAGCAAGAGTCATCGCCATCTTGAAGCCAGGCAAAGACCGCAATGACCCAAAAAGCTACAGACCAATCTCCCTGTTGTGCCACCTCTACAAAGTTCTGGAGAGACTTATTTTGCATAGAATTATGGAAAAATAGACCCCTGTCTGATCCCACAGCAAGCTGGCTTCAGGAAAGGCAAAAGCTGCACATCGCAAGTGCTGAACCTGACTCAGCACATAGAAGATGGCTTTGAAAGGCAGCAGATCACAGGAGCTGTCTTCATAAACCTGTCAGCAGCCTATGATACTGTGAACCACCGCCTCCTCCTGAGAAAAATGTATAATATCACAAAGGACGACCACCTCACCCGCCTCATAGGAAACCTGCTACAAAACAGGAGCTTTTTTGTTGAGTTCCAGGGCCAGAGAAGCAGATGGCGGAAACAGAAGAACGGCCTGCCTCAGGGGAGCGTGCTTGCTCCATCCATGTTCAACATCTACACAAATGACCAGCCACTGCCAGAAGGGACAGAGAGTTTCATCTATGCTGATGATCGTGCCATCACCGCTCAAGCAGGGAGCTTTGAGATGGTTGAACAGAAGCTCTCCGAAGCTCTAGGTGCTCTTACTGCCTATTACAGGGAAAACCAGCTGATCCCTAACCCATCTAAAACACAGACATGTGCCTTTCATCTCAAGAACAGACAAGCATCCCGAGCTCTGAGGATGATTACCTGGGAAGGAATCCCACTGGAGCATTGCAGCGCACCCAAATACCTGGGAGTCACTCTGGACCGTGCTCTGACCTACAAGAAGCACTGCCTGAACATCAAACAAAAAGTGGGCGCTAGAAACAACATCATACGAAAGCTGACTGGCACAACCTGGGGATCACAACCAGACACAGTGAAGACATCTGCCCTTGCGCTATGCTACTCTGCTGCTGAGTATGCATGCCCAGTGAGGAACACATCTCACCACGCTAAAACAGTGGATGTGGCTCTGAATGAGACATGCCGCATTATCACGGGGTGCCTGCACTCTACACCACGGGAGAAATTCACACTGCTTAGCCAGTATGCACCACCTGACATCGCCGGGAAGTAGCAGCCAATAGTGAAAGGACCAAGGCAGAGACATCCCCAGCTCATCCCCTGTTTGGGTATCAGCCAGCACGTCAACGACTTAAATCAAGACATAGTTTTCTTAGATCTACAGAGACACTCGCTGGAACACCCCAGCATGCGAGAGTCCAAAAGTGGCAGGCTCAAACCCAGAACCTCAATTTGTGGGTAATACCAGATGAGAGACTCCCCCCTGGGCACACAGACTTGGAAGGCGCTGAACAGACTGCGCTCTGGCACCACGAGATGCAGAGCCAATCTTAAGAAATGGGGCTACAAAGTGGAATCCTCGACATGCGAGTGTGGAGAGGAGCAAACCACTGACCACCTGCTGCAATGCACCCTGAGCCCTGCCACATGCACCATGGAGGACCTTCTTGCGGCAACACCAGAGGCACTCCAAGGGGCCAGAGACTGCTCAAAGGACATTTAACCAACTGCTAAGTTTGCAAAATTTGTGTGTTTTTTAATCTGTGTGTTTGTTTTGTTCTGTTAGAAATGTAATACAATGGTCTGGTTGCTGATGACACAATAAATGAAATTCCTCCTGCTTTTCCTCAGGGACCCTCCCGGCCCTGAAGACCCCGGATGAAGGCGTCCTCTCCGACCCCCAGCAGATCATCACCTACCTCAGGAAGCAGGTAAGGGACACGCCCACCTCCCAGGTGCTGAGGGGGAGGCAAGGGGCCTGGGGATAGAAGAAGAGGAGGGGGAAGAGGAAGGGAAGAAAGAGGGAAAGAGGAAGACGAAGGGGGGAGGAGGAGGAAAAGGAGAAGAGAGGCAAAGGAGGAAGAGGGGGGAAAAGGAGGAGGAAGAAGAGAAGGAAGACAAGGAAGAAGAAGAATAGGAGGAGAAAGGGGAGGTGGAGGAGAATGAGGAAAAGGAAAGAGGAGGAAAAAGAGGCTCTTCTTTCTCCTCTTCCTCCTTTCCCCTTCTCTCTCCTTCCTCTTCCTCTCCTTATCTTCTTCCCTCCTCCTCTTCCACTTTTTCCTCCCTTGCTCTTCCCCTCCTCTCTCTTCTTCTTTATCCTTTTATCTCATCTTCCCCCTCGTCAAATTTTGTTATGTTTTCCTCCTCTTCTCCTTTTTTCTCTTCCTCTTCTTTTCTCCTCTTCCTCCACTTCCTACTCCTCTTTTTTTCTCCTTCCTTCTTTTCCTTCTTTTCTCCCTTTCCTCCTTCCATTCTTCCTTGTCTTCCCCTCCTTGCCTTCTCTTCCCCTTCTTTATCCTTTTCCTCCATCTCCTCTTCCACTTTATAATCTTTTTGTTATTTTTCATCCTCTTCTTCCCCTTTCTCCTCCTCTTCTCTTTTCTCCTCTCCCTCCCCTTCCTACTCCTCCTCTTTTTTTCCTTCTTCCTCCTTTCCTCCTTTTCTCCCTTTCCTCCTTCCCTTCTTCCTTTCCTTCCCCCTCTTCCCTCTCTTCCACTTCTTTATCCTTTTCCTCCATCTCCTCTTCCCCTTCCTTGTCCTCGTTTTCTTTTTCTTTCCTCTTTTTCTTCCCCTTCCTCCTCCTCTTTTTCTTCCTCTTCCCCTTCTTTATCCTTTTTCTCCATTTCCTCTTCCCCTCCTTATCCACTTCTTCTTCCTGTTCCCGTTCCTCTTCCCCTCCCCTTCCTCTTTCCCCTTCCTCCTCTTCCTCCTGCTCTAGAGATTCAACGCAGACTATGACCTCTCCGCCCGGCAAGGGGCCGACACGCTGGCCTTCGTGTCACTGCTGCAGGAGAAGCTTCTTCCCGTGCTGGTGAGTCCAAAACAGAGTTGGAAACTGTAGACTTTCATACATTCCTACAGTTGGGGGACACCAGGTCTAACTGCCTTTTACCAGGCAAAGAAAGTGCAAAGCACCCCCAACAGATGGCCATCCAGCCTCTTCTTCAAAGCCCCAAATACTCTTGTATTCGGGTCTGATTATACTCAAGTATATATGGTAGTGTGTGGCACCAAAATTGGTGTTTCTGGAGGAGAGACATTTAACATAATAGGCTGTTAGCTCCAGGTTGAAAGATTTCCTTGGCTTGCAAGCCACAACAGTGTTGCTGCGGAATGGGAGAAGGGCTTGCTGTGCTCTCCTTGGCTCTCCATCTCTCCCGTTCTCTTTCTCTCTTGCAGATCCACACCTTCTGGGTGGATGCCAAGAACTACGTGGAGCTGACCCGGAAGTGGTACGCGGAGGCCATGCCCTTCCCGCTGAACTTCTTCCTCCCGGGGCGGATGCAGAAGCAGCAGCTGGAGCGCCTGCAGACGTTGTGCGGGGAAAACTGCCTCGAGAACGAAGAGGAGCTGGAAAAGGAGGTGAGCAGGGCGAGGCACAAAGAGGGACCCAAGGGGTAATTAAAAAAAATTACAGCCCAGTAAATCAACAGCAGTAGTTTGAACAGATCAGAAACTTCTTGAGCACAGCAGAAGAGCAAATGAGCTCCAGTAATTATAATCAATCTTATGAGATTACAAAAGACTTTCTTGAAAGGAAAGTTATGGACTTGCTATCTCTCTGGAGACATCTTGTCTCTCTCCATGCTCACAGAAGAGCAAAATGGAAGCTCAGAGGATTACTATGTGGTTAGAAACGTTGAATGGAAAAAGGTGTATCAGTCAAACAAGACGAAAACTATATAATGCAGTTTCTTAATCCAGGTTGTCTGCTTTGAAGTGGATTATATAAGAATATAATATACATTATATATTATAATGTAATAATATGATTATATTTGTAATATGATATTATAATTATATATTACATGTAATATTACTAATAATATTACAATATAATTGGTATCGTACAATATAGAAATATTTAAAACTGATATTGTACTACGCTAATAATATAATATATTGTATATATATATATATACCTTGTAAGCCGCTCTGAATCCCCTAAAATAATAATAATAACAACAACAACAACACTTTATTTGTACCCCACTACCATCTCCCCAAGGGAGGTGCGGCTTACATGAGGCCAAGCCCAAATACAACAATATAGGCAATAAACAACAATACAAGCAATTAAAAATAAAAAAACATAGACAATAAAAAATATACAACATTATCAATAAGACAACACACAATTAAAAACAGTGGGAAGGCCAAATGTAAAGTTAAAATTGGAAATAATGTTGGGACATAGACGAAAAGGAGATATTATAATGATTATTAGTATTATATTGTATTGCATTATAATATTATCAATATATGTATATACAATATAATATAAAATATTTAATTATAATATTATTAGTATTATATTGTATTGGATTATAGTACTATCAATATTATATGTATGTACAATATAATATAAAATACTTAGTTACAATATCATATTATTAGTATTATATTGTATTACATTAAAATATAAACATTATATGTATATACAATATAATATAAAATATTTAATTATAATATATTATTAGTAGTATTTTATTGTATTGCATTATAATATTTTCAATATTATATGTATATACAATATAATATAAAATATTTAATTATAATATATTATTAGTAGTATTATATTGTATTGCATTATAATAATATCAATATTATATGTATATACAATATAAAATATTTAATTATAATATATTAGTATTATATTGTATTACATTATAATATTATCAATATTATATGTATGTACAATATAATATAAAATATTTAATTATAATACCATATAATTTGTAGTATTATATTGTAATACAATATAATATTAAATACTTAATTATAATATCATATTATTATTAGTATTATATTGTATTACATTATAATATTATCAATATTTTATGTATATACAATATAATAAAAATATTTAATTATAATATTAGTAGTATTATATTTTATGACATAATATTTATTTATTTATTTATTTACTTTATTTTTATACCGCATTTTTCAGCCTAATTCGGCGACTCAATGCGGTTATAAATATTATAAATATATGTATATAGAATGTAATAAAAATATTTAATTATAATATTATTAGTATTATATTTTATGACATATTATAAATATTACATGTATATACAATGTAATATAATATATTTAATTATAATATATTATTAGTATTATATTGTATTACATTATAATAATATCAATATATGTATATACAATATAATATAATTATAATATCATATTATTAGTAGTATTATATTTTATGACATTATAATATTATAAATATTATATTATATACAATATAATATAAAATAATTAATTATAATACCATATTATTAGTATTACATTGTATTACATTATAATATAATAAATATTATACATACACACACGCACACACAATATATTATGTTATGTTATGTTATGTTATGTTATGTTATGTTATGTTATGTTATGTTATGTTATGTTATGACTGGTGTTGGGGAAGTGTTTGGGACAATGGCCTTTGCCAGAGTGCGGAGTGTTTTCTTCCTGCCTTGCAGCTCTACCGTGAAGCCCGGGAATGTCTGACGCTCCTCTCCCAACGGCTCGGCCAGCAGAAGTTCTTCTTCGGAGACTCGTAAGTATCGTTTTGCGTGCGGCATTTGTGGAAGACGTACTTTGGGTTGAGCTGCATCCATAGGTGTCTGAGAAAATCCCTCTGTTTCCCTCTCCCACGCCCAGGCCCGCTTCCTTGGACGCCGTCGTGTTCAGCCACCTGGCCCCGCTGCTGAAAGCCAAGCTCCCCAACGCCAAATTCCAGCAACACCTCAAGTCTCTGCCCAACCTCTGCAACTATTGCACCTCCATCTTGAGCCTGTACTTCCCCTGGGATGAAGGTGAGCAATGTGGCTGAAAGAGCTGTTCAACAGGGGAACTCTCTGCCTCAGAGTCTGGTGGAAGCTCCTCTAGAGGCTTTGAAGCAGAGGCTGGGTGGACATCTGTCGGGAGGGCTTTGATTGTGCTTTACCTGCCTGTTAGAAGGGGGTTGGACTGGATGTCCTTTGGATGACCCCTGCAGATCTCTTCTCACTCAATAGCCTCATTTCTCCATGATCCTGCTAATGTCTGTGAGGCTGGGTGGCCATCTGTCAGGAGGGCTTTGATTGTGCTTTACCTGCCTGTTAGAAGGGGGTTAGACTGGATGTCCTTTGGATGACCCCTGCAGATCTCTTCTCACTCAATAGCCTCATTTCTCCATGATCCTGCTAATGTCCGTGAGGCTGGGTGGCCATCTGTCAGGAGGGCTTTGATTGTGCTTTTCCTGCCTGGTAGAAGGGGCTTGGGCTGGGTGTCCTTTGGATGACACTTAAGGATCTCTTCCAACTCTATATTCTCATTTCTCCATGATCCTACTAATGTCTGTGAGGCTGGGTGGCCATCTGTCAGGAAGGCTTAGTTGGTGCCTTCCTTCACAGCAGAATTGTGTTGCATAGTGTTATCTGCAGGGGACAGTGTGTGGGTCAAGGATCATTCCCACCCTCTCTTACGATGGCGATGTTTGGTTCTTAGTCCAAACATTTTGTGTTTGATTTTTATGATGTCATTTTGCACTGTTTATTTTAGTTTGTGGTTATATGTATTTTGTTGTGATGTAATTTTTTTCTGTTGTTTTGTGACTAATTATGCTGTATTATTTTGGGGCTTGACCTCATGTTAGCCGCCCCGAGTCCCCATTGGGGAGATGGTGGCGGGTTATAAATAAAGATGATGATGATGATGATGATTATTATTATTACTATTATTTGAAACACCACAAGATGAGTCCACAGCAGACACCGTTGAATTGGATTATTATTATTATTATTACTATTATTATTATTATGTTGAATTATTATTATTATTATTATTATTATTATTATTATTATTATTATTGCTATTATTATTTGACTGTGCTGGCTGTTGAATTGGATTATTATTATTATTAATATTAATATTAATATTATTTGAAACACCACAAGAGGAGTCCACAGCAGACACTCTGCTGGCTGTTGTTGTTGTTATTATTATTATTATTTGAAACAAAACAAGATGAGTCCACAACAGACACTGTGCTGGCTGTTGAATTGGATTATTATTATTATTATTATTATTATTATTATTATTATGTTGAATTATTATTAGTATTTGACTGCTGGCTGTTGAATTGGATGATGATGATGATAATGATGATGATGATGATGATGATTATTATTATTATTATTTGACTGTGCTGGCTGTTGAATTGGATTACTATTATTGTTATTATTATTATTATGTTGAATTAGTATTATTATTATTGCTGTTATTATTTGACTGCGTTGGCTGTTGAATTGGATTATTATTATTATTATTATTATTATTTGAAACACCACAAGATGAGTCCACAGCAGACACTCTGCTGGCTGTTGTTGTTGTTGTTATTATTATTATTTGAAACAAAACGAGTCCACAGCAGATACTCTGCTGGCTGATGAATTGGATTATTATTATTATTATTATTATTATTATTATTATTATTATGTTGAATTATTATTATTATTTGACTGCTGGCTGTTGAATTGCATTATTATTATTATTATTATTATTATTATTATTACGTTGAATTATTATTATTATTATTATTATTATTATTATTATTATTATTATTAGAAACATCACAAGATGAGTCCACAGCAGACACTCTGCTGGCTGTTGAATTGCATTATTATTATTATTATTATTATTATTATTATTATTATTATTACATTGAATTATTATTAGTATTATTATTATTTGACTGTGCTGGCTGTTGAATTGGATTATTATGATGATGTTGAATTATTATTATTATTATTATTATTATTATTATTATTATTAGAAACACCACAAGATGAGTCCACAGCAGACACTGCTGGCTGTTAATTGGATTATTATTATTATTATTATTACGTTGAGTTATTATTATTATTACGTTGAATTATTATTAGTATTATTATTATTTGACTCTGCTGGCTGTTGAATTGGATTCTTATTATTATGTTGAATTATTATTATTATTATTATTATTATTTGAAACACTACAAGATGAGTCCACAGCAGACACTCTGCTAGCTGCAGTTGTTGTTGTTGTTGTTTGGCTGCTGCTGCTGCTGTTATTATTATTATTATTATTATTATTATTATTATTACATTGAATTATTATTATTATTATTATTATTATTATTATTATTTGACTGTGCTGGCTGTTGAATTGGATTATTATTATTATATTGAATTATTATTATTATTATTATTATTATTATTATTATTATTATTATTAGAAACACCACAAGATGAGTCTACAGCAGACACTGCTGGCTGTTGTTGTTGTTGTTGTTGTTGTTATTATTATTATTATTATTATTATTATTATTATTATTATATCATTATGGGAGGGGAGCCTTGAGGCCCAGGGGAGATGGTGGCCAAGCCTTCTGGGAGTTGTAGTCCCACGGCGTCCACTCTGTGTGTCTCTTCCGCAGGGGACCCCCCTGCCCCGGTGACCAAGTCGGCTTCCGGCGACGGGAGCGAGAGCGAGGAGGAGCCCCACAAGCGGCGGAACCAGGTGCTGTCGGTGCTGGTGGGCCTGCTGGCCATGGTGGGCTATGCGCTGCTCACGGGGATCGTCTCCATCCAGAAGCAGAGCCCGGGCACGGCGGGCCGACGGGCCATTGCCCTCGAGGAGGAGGAGGAAGACGAGGAGGAGGAGGAGTGAGGGGCCGCTCAGGGACAATGGGACCTCCACTGCAGCGTCCACTCCTGACCCATATTTCACATCCGTTTCCCTTCGCGTTCATTCCTTTGCCCAGGCCGTTCCCGGACTCAGATGGCTCTGGTAGGAGGTCATTTCCCAGTGCCTTAACGGTGTTCTTATTCACTACAGTCGGGCATAATTGCCATTGTCAACATTACACCAAAGGGTGGGAAACTTTCGGTCGGTTAATGTGTTGTCGAAAGCTTCCATGGCCAGGATCACTGGGTTGCTGTGAGTTTTCCGCACTAAGGAAATGTTTACAAGGTTCCTTACGTTAAAAATAAAGTCAACACAAGGCTCCTTACTGGGTTGCTGTGAGTTTTCCAGGCTGCCTGGCCATATTCCAGAAGCATTCTCTCCTGATGTTTCGCCCACATCTCTGGCTGGCCTCCTCAGAGGTTGAGAGGTCTGTTGGAAACCAGGAGAATGGCCTTGCAGCTTCAAAGCTTGGCTGGTTGCTGCCTGTGGGGGAATCCTTTGTTAGGAGGTGGAATGACGTCCAGGGTGGGAGAAAAAAACTCTTGTCTGTCGGAGGCAAGTGGGAATGTTGCCATTGGTATTGAATGGCCTTGCAGCTTCAAAGCTTGGCTGGTTGCTGCCTGTGAGGGAATCCTTTGTTAGGAGGTAGAATGATGTCCAGGGTGGGAGAAAGAACTCTTGTCTGTTGGAGGCAGGTGTGAATGTTGCCATTGGCTACTATGATTAGTATTAAATGGCCCTGCAGTTTCAAAGCCTGGCTGGTTGCTGCCTGGGAGGGAATCCTGTTAGGAGGTGGAATGATGTCCAGGGTGGGAGAAAGAACTCTTGTCTGTTGGAGGCAAGTGGGAATGTTGCCATTGGCCACCTTGATTAGCATTGAATGGCCTTGTAGCTTCAAAGCCTGGCTGGTTGCTGCCTGCGGGGCAACCCTTTGTTAGGAGGTGGAATGACGTCCAGGGTGGGAGAAAGAACTCTTGTCTGTTGGAGGCAGGTGTAAATGTTGTCATTGGCCACTATGATTAGTATTAAATGGCCTTGCAGCTTCAAAGCCTGACTGGTTGCTGCCTGCAGGGCAATCCTTTGTTAGGAGGTGGAATGATGTCCAGGGTGGGAGAAAGAACTCTTATCTGTCGGAGGCAAGTGTGAATGTTGCAATTGATCAACTTGATTAGCATTGCAAAGCTTTGCAGTTTCAAGGCCTGCCTGCTTCCTGCCTGGGGGAATCCTTTGTTGGGAGGTTTCCTGCCTGGAATTCCCCTGTTTTCAGAGTGTTCATCTTTATTTACTGTCCTGGTTTTATGATTTTGTTCATTTTCATGCTTTGCTCCTTTTTGTTGAAATTGTTCATGTGCTTTATATGGATTTCAATAGTTTCTCTGTGTAGTCTGTTGCAATTGGCCAACTTGTTTAGCACTGAAAGGCCTTGCATATTCAAAGCCTGGCTGCTTCCTGCCTAGGGGAAACCACTCTTAACAACCACCAAGAGTGGTTTCCCCTAGGCAGGAAGCAGCCAGGCTTTGAATATGCAAGGTCTTTCAGTGCTAAACAAGTTGGCCAATTGCAACATTCACACTTGGTAGAGTGGTTTCCTCCAGGCAGGAAGCAGCCAAGCTTTGAAGCTGTGAGGCCTTTCAGTACCAATCAACATCCACACTTGTTAGACTGGATTCCCACAGGCAGGAAGCAGCCAGGCTTTGAAGCTGTAAGGCCTTTCAGTACCAATCAACATTCACACTTGTTAGAGTGGATTCCCACAGGCAGGAAGCAGCCAGACTTTGAAGCTGCAAGGCCTTTTAGTGCTAAACAAGATGGCCAGTTGCAACATTCACACTTGTTAGAGGGGATTCCCACAAGCAGGAAGCAGACAGGCTTTGAAGCTGTGAGGCCTTTCAGTACCAATCAACGTTCACACTTGTTAGAGTGGTTTCCCACAGGCAGGAAGCAGACAGGCTTTGAAGCTGTGAGGCCTTTCAGTACCAATCAGCATTCACACTTGTTAGATTGGATTCCCACAGGCAGGAAGCAGCCAGGCTTTGAAGCTGCAAGGCCTTCCAGTACCAATCAACATTCACACTTGTTAGATTGGATTCCCACAGGAAGGAAGCAGCCAGGCTTTGAATCTGCAAGGCCTTTTAGTGCTAAACAAGATGGCCAGTTGCAACATTCACACTTGTTAGAGGGGATTCCTCCAGGCAGGAAGCAGCCAGGCTTTGAAGCTGCAAGACCTTTCAGTTCTAATCATGGTGGACAATTGCAACATTCACACTTGCTTCAAGCAGACAAGAGTCCTTTCTCCCACCCCGGACATAATTCCACAGGTTTAAATATCAACCCCACTTGCCTAGTTTCCAACAGACCTCACAAGCTCATAGATGTGGGTGAAACGTCAGGAGTTAGTGCTTCTGGAACATGACGAGACAGCCCAGAAAACGCACAGCACTCCTTTCCCTAAATTGAATCTTGCACCTCATTTTGTCTCTCTGGGAACCTCTTCCAGGGAAAATCAGGCCCACGATTCCTCACTTTTTTGGTCCAATTATTTTATTATTATTATTATTACGGGGGGAAACTGCCTTTGCGCCCGCGGCCTGGCTTTTGGATCCAGAGCGGCAGGAGAGGCGCCCGTCTATGTCCGCAGTGACTTGCGGTTGACCCATTTATTTTGGCAAGGGAGGACGGGATGGGGGGGTTTCTGGAAAATCCAGACGGGAAAAGGGACGAAAAATAAACGCTGGACTTTTGGTGATGTTTGCTTTTCTCCCGGAGTGCTTGCTTGCAAAGCTGGGTGGCCTTCTTCCTGGTTTGGAGGGAGTCTGTCATCCCAAAGAAGGCACTTTTCCAGCCCTCTCCTTCCAAGCACAACGAAGGCATTCTTTGACCACAAACATGCCTAAGTGCTCTCGGCAGGAACATTCGGCGGCACAGCTGGGAGTCCTTCAGGGAAGCGGCTACCGTTTCCATTCAGCCCCTGCCAAAGGCTAACGTCATCGCAGACCGCAGGGCAGACCGTCCCAAAAGATTTCCTTAACTCTTTCGTGACACGGACCAATAGCTTTGATTTGGGGGGGCTTTTGAGGAACACGAATGATGCCCGGTCCCTTTTGGGGGGCTTCCCTGCAAGCTCTACGAGAGGGGCGTTCGCTCAAGATTTCCCCCGACCCACTTCCTGTGGACTGAGAGCAATGAAACTTGGCACGGTTATGAGTCTAGATGCCGTCTTTGGGGCCCCTTCCAACTCTAGGATTCTATCTATCTGTCTATCGTGGCAGAAGGGGGTGGACTGGATGACCTTCTTTGGGGCCCCTTCCAACTCTAGGATTCTATCTATCTATTTATTATGGTAGAAGGGGGGTGGACTGGATGACCTTCCTTGGGGCCCCTTCCAACTCTAGGAATCTATCTGTCTATTGTGGCAGAAGGGGGTGGACTGGATGGCCTTCTTTGGGGCCCCTTCCAGCTCTAGGATTCTATCTATCTGTCTATCGTGGCAGAAGGGGGTGGACTGGATGGCCTTCTTTGGGGCCCCTTCCAACTCTAGGATTCTATCTGTCTATTGTGGCAGAAGGGGGTGGACTGGATGGCCTTCTTTGGGGCCCCTTCCAACTCTAGGATTCTATCTATCTGTCTATCGTGGCAGAAGGGGGTGGACTGAATGACCTTCTTTGGGGCCCCTTCCAACTCTAGGATTCTGTCTATCTTATCTATCTATCTATCTATCTATCTATCTATCTATCTATTTATTATGGCAGAAGGGGGTGGACTGGATGACCTTCTTTGGGGACCCTTCCAACTAGGATTCTATCTATTTGTTTATTATGGCAGAAGGGGGGTGTACAGGGTGACCTTTTTTGGGGTCCCTTCCAACTAGGATTCTGTCTATCTCTTATAGTTGAAGGGGGTGGACTGGATGACCTTCTTTGGGGGCCCTTCCAACTCTAGGATTCCTTCCTTCCGCTCTCTCTCTCTCTCTCTCTCTCTCTCTCTCTGTCTGTCTATCTATCTATCTATCTATCTATCTATCTATCTATCTATCTATCTAGGCAAAAGACTGTATGGCCTTCTTGGGGGCCCTTTCCAACTAGGATTCTGTCTGTCTATCATAGTTGAAGGGGGTGGACTGGATGACCTTTGGGGACCTTTCCAGCTAGGATTCTGTCTGTCTGTCTGTCTGTCTATCTATCTATCTATCTATCTATCTATCTAGGCAGAAGGGGATGGACTGGGTGGCCTTCTTTGGGGACCCTTCCAACTCAAGGATTCTCTCTCTCTCTCTATCTATCTATCTATTATGGGAGAAGGGGGGTGGATTGGATGATTTCTTTGGGACCCCTTCCAACTAGGATTCTATCTATTCTGCTTGAAGGGGGTGGACTGGATGACCTCCTTTGGGGCCCCTTCCAACTTGATTTATTTCTTTATTTATTTGCTATACTTTTATACCGCCCCTCTCAACCTGGAGGCGACTCAAGGCGATTTAACTCTAGGATTCTATCTCTATCTATCTATCTATCTATCTATCTATCTATCTATCTATCTATCTATCTTTTATAACAGAAGGGGAGTGGACTGGATGACCTTCTTTGGGTCACCTTCCAACTCTAGGATTCTGTCTATCTTATCTATCTATCTATCTATTTTTATGGCAGAAGGGGGTAGACTGGATGACATTCCTTCCAACTCTAGGATTCTATCTATTTATTTATAATGGCAGAAGGGGGGTGTACAGGATGACCTTTTTTGGGGCCCCTTCCAACTAGGATTCTATCTATCTATTATGGCAGAAGGGGATGACCTTCTTTGGGGACCCTTCCAGCTCTAGGATTGTTTGTTTGTTTGTTTCTGTCTGTCTATTTATCTTTCTGTTATGGCAGAAAGGGGGTGGATTGGATGACCTTCTTTGGGGCCCATTCCAACTCTAGGGCTGTTTCTTTGTTTATTTCTGTCTCTATTTATCTATTATGGCAGAAGGGGGATGGACTGGATGACCTTCTTTGGGACCCCTTCCAACTCTAGGATTGTTTGGGTTGTTGTAGGTTTTTCCAGGGTATATGGCCATGGTCTAGAGGCATTCTCTCCTGATGTTTCGCCTGCATCTATGGCAAGCATCCTCAGAGGTAATGAGGTCTGTTGGAACTAGTAAAAATGGTTTATATATCTGTGGAAAGTCCAGGGTGGGACAAAGGACTCTTGTCTGCCAGAGCTAGGTGTGAATGTTTCAACTGACCACCTTGATTAGCATTTGATAGCCTGGCAGTGCCTGGAGCAATCTTTTGTTGAGAGGTGATTAGATGTCCCTGTTTGTTTGTTTGCTTTGTGTGTCTATCTATCTATTATGGCAGAAGGGGGTGGGTTGGATGACCATCTTTGGGGCCCCTTCCAACTCTAGGATTCTTTCTGTCTGTCTCTTTCTATCTATTAAGGCAGAAGGGGGTGGACTAGATGGAAAGAGATGTTTACAAGGTTCCTTACGTTAAGAAGGAAGCCAACACAAGGCTCCTTACGTTTACCAACCCCAGTTAAGGAGAGTCAACATCTGTCCGGAACTGAGATGAAGCCAGGATGTTTCAGGCTGGATAAACATCTATCGTTCGTTTCCAACTTTAGAACAACATCAGCAAGAATATATTGCTATATAAGATACCTATATAAGATAGCGCTCATTCTGACTTTCCGAAACCAAGCTTTCCAGGACTCCCAATTGGCACAGTTCAGACCCCAGCTGACGTTGGAGATGTTTACAAGGTTCCTTACGTTGAGAAAGAAGTCAGCACAAGGCTCCTTACGTTTACCAACACCAAACCTTACACCAGCCCTTGTCAAATCAAGACTGTTACAAGTTTTGAGTTGCAAATAGGCACGCAACCTAGAGAGACTATTATCACTACACATGTGCCGTTTCAGCGTCCTGTGATAAATAGAAGTAGGTCAGGGGGAATCTTTAATGAACACCCCTCGTATTTGGTCTCAGGCGGCGGAACGTCTTGGGTCGGCTTCCTGAAAAGCAGGCCAGAGGAAAGCCTACGGCAAGCGTCGCGTGGGTAGAAAAGAACGGTGGTGCCATTTATTGTAAGGGAACACCAGGGAAAGAAGAGAATGAAGTATTTAGGAAGCACAAGATGGCAACCAAAGCTTGAACCAGCCATGCTCGTCCTGGGCTTCCTGGCCTCCAGGAACCTCTCCTCCATCAAACCTTCTCATGGAAGGGAGATGAGGCCAGGAGGGTCTCTGCTGCTGCTGGGCCTCTTCCAAAGATAGGTCTGGATGGAGTCGGCGGTTGCCATGGCGTCGATGTGACCAACATCCGGATCGGAGATGCAGAAGGGCACATCCTCGGGGGAGCTGGAGGGACAAAAGGGGAAACAGATTTATGCAAAAGGCAGAACCAGAGAGGAGAAAACAGCCTTGGAAACATGTCACTCCCAGGGAGCACTCTTAGTATTCGTGTAATAGTCGCACCTTTAATTTTTCAAAATCCAAAAGGTGGAATCATTGCTACATACCATATTTCATCACGTAATAGTCGCACTTTTGATTTTTCAAAATCCAAAAGATGGAATCATTGCTACGTCCCATATTTCCTTCACGTAATAGTCGCACTTTTGATTTTTCAAAATCCAAAAGGTGAAATTATTTCTACACGTTTCATCACGTAATAGTCGCACCTTTAATTTTTCAAACACATCCCAGGGTATGGCAAGAGAATGCTTGCAATATCACTTTGTGCAACCTCCTTGGCCATTTCTTGCTTCAAACCCATACCCTCTGTGGCGCCACAAACCCCACTTTCCATCCCAGCTCACCGGTTCAAGACCACGACGGCCGCGGAGCCGTCTGTCCGCAGGAAGGCTGAGAATTCCAGCCCCGTCGGTTGGCTGCTTTGGACACCGATCCTCTGTGTTCCTTCTGGGAGGAACTTGCTGTGTTTGGACGTAGAGCAAAAAACAAAAACAGCCAATGAGTGGAGACAATTCCAAGAAGAGTACAGCTTGGTGCAAAAGATGGTTCCAACCACCATGTTTTGTCAAGACCCCTCCCCAAAGCTACCTGAAGTGAGCCAAGTGGTAGAACATGGGCTGCTTGTAGAAGACGTCCTTGGCTGCGTCCACGATGACGGGGCTATCCACGTAGTTCTTGCTCCAGTTGGGACCCCCTTCCATGTTCAGCGCCAAGTTCCAGTCGGTCCACCCGGTGACGAAGTTGTTGAGGTTCTGTGAGGAGAGGGTCCGCAAACAATAATAATATACTTTATTTATATTCCACTCTATCACTTTGAGGGGATTACAGATTTCATTTATGGCAAACATTCAACGCCATTATACAATTAACAACAAAGAAAGACAGTACACAGACAGAGGCAAAGGCTTCCCTCTTTTCGTCTCTTGACATCTGGAGGCGTGCTCTTGTTTCATTCCCTATGCCAAGGAGCCAATCGTCCATGTAGGCCTTGAATTGCCGACATGTCTGCATGGGTGCCTTTTTCCTCCCTGCCAGAGCGGTACCTATTGATCTATTCACATTATTGTTTTTGAACTGCTAGGTAGGCAGAAGCTAGGGCTGATGGCAGGAGCTCACCCCGACCTTCGGCTTTGAAGTGCCCTTCTGGTCGGCAAGATTTTCCACAGCTGATTGTTTATCCCCTAGTGCTACCGCAGCCCAGCAATGATAAGATCTACCAACCGAAAGGTTGCCAGTTCGAAGCTCCGGGTCGGCGTGAGCTCCTGATTGTCGGCCCAGCTCACTGTTTATCTAAACAGCTTGAGCTATAAGTAGAGAAATTAGGTACTGCTAAAACAAGTGGGGGAGATATTTCATGGCATCATAAAGTAAACGCTCAGAAAATGCCCAGCGACCAAAAGGAAGGAGGAAGTCCTGATGGCTCTTCATCACAGAGGATGGCGCGACAGCACCCCTCTGTGGCTGGATTTGAGCACAACCTCCAAGATGCCAAAAAGCTGGATGTCGACACAACATACCTCCTTTCTGTTCGGTCTGTCTATCTATCCTGTCTGTCCAAATTGGAATTTAATGTTTACCGTGTCTGTGTACTGTGATCTGCCCTGAGTCCCCTTAGGGAGATAGAGCAGAATGTAAATAAATGTTGTTGTTGTGAGGTTTTGGGGTCTCTGCTTAGAGGGGAGGCTCCCCTGCCCAACAAAAGCACAGCAGGAAGCTCTCATCGAACTGACTTTCCTCTCCCGGTATTTGAGTCGGGATCTCCCATCCGCTTGTGTCGGACATACCGTCAAGATGCTGTGGCTGTACTTGCTGCCCCGGTTCCATCCCCCTAGGATTACTCTAGGCTCCCAAAAGTAGGACCCAGCAGAAGCTTCGGTGGCGAGGATGAAGTAGTCGGGAAAGAGGCGGTGGGTGCTGGAGAGCGTGGGGCCCGCCGGGGCCAAGAAGTCCAGGTACCAGTGGATGCCGATCCCGTGGACATAGCGGGAGGCTGCAGGGTCCTGGAGAACCTAAATGTGAAGGAACACGAGAGCATGACTCAGAATTTTATATGGTTTCAGTCTGATTGATTGTTTATATTTTAATGAGTTTTATGTGTTTTATTGTTTACCTGTGCGAATACAGAAAAATTAAAGGTGCGACTATTACGTGATGAAATATGGTGTGTAGCAATGATTCCACCTTTTGGGTTTTGAAAAATTAAAGATGCGACTATTACGTGATTAAATCAAGAAACGGCCTTCCTCAGGGGAGCTTACTCCATCAATGTTTAACACTTACACAAATGACCAGCCACTGCCAGAAGTAACAGAGTTTCCTCTATGCTGATGATTGTGCCATCACCGCCCAAGCAGAGAGCTTTGAAATGGTTGAACAGAAGCTCTCTGAAGCTTTAGGTGCTCTTACTGCCTATTACAGTGTGTAATACATCTCACCCCATTAAAACAGTGGATGTGGGTCTTAATGAGACATGCCGCATTATCACTGGATGTCTACACCCCACACCAATGGAGAAATTACACTGCACCACCTGAAATCCACCAGGAAGTAGCAGCCTGTAATGAAAGGACCAAGGCATTGACATCTCTTGCCCATCCTCTGTTTGGATTTCAGTCAACATATAATAGTCACACCCCCTTTTGGAAAAAAGGAGTAAAAGTGCGACTATTATGTGATGAAAAATGGTATGTAGCAATGATTCCACTTTTGGGATTTTGCAAAATTAAAGGTGTGACTATTACGTAATGAAATATGTTATGTAGCAATGATTCCATCTTTTGGAATTTAAAAATTTAAAGGTACGACTATTACGTGATATAATATGGTATGTAACAATGATTCCACTTTTTGGATTTTGAAATTTTAAAGACGCGACTATTACGTGATGAAATATGGTGTGTAGCAACGTTTTCACCTTTTGGATTTTGAAATTTTAAAGGTGCGACTATTACGTGATGAAATATGGTGTGTAGCAATGATTCCATCTCTTGAATTTTGAAAAAATCAAAGGTGAGACTATTATGTGATGAAATATGGTGTGTAGAAATGATTCCACTTTTTGGAGTTTGAAAACTTAAAGATGCAACTATTATGTGATTAAATCAAGAAACAGCTTCCTAAGATCAACAGAGATACTCGCAGGAACACCTCAGCAAGCGAGAGTCCAAAAGTGGCAGGCTAAACCTTGTATCCTCAATCAGTGGCTGAGACCAGATGAGAAACTCACCACTTCGGCCCAGTGTGGGAGCAAGATGCGCTGGTCGTCCAGGATGATCAGGCGGATGCCTTTGTGGGTGCTGTTGGCCAGAGCCGGGCCCAGGTCCTGGGCAATGAAGTCCCGCTGGTGCTCCGCGGAGAAGCCCAGGCTCTGGAATGGGTAGAAGATGACCTCCCCGGCTGTGGGCTCGTTGCCCGCCGTCAGGGCCCAGAAGCTCAGGTTGTGCTTGGCGTATTCGTCCAAGAACCTGCGAGGAGAAGCCGAGGTGGCGGGAGTCAGTACCCTCAATTCCTGATTTGGCTATTTGGTCTATAGATCAGGCCCTTTTTTGCTCAGAGTGTGATCGTCTCCAGCCATGTCAACAACACCAGTCCCCTCCCAACACTAAGAATTGTGGTGTCTTCCTTCTTTTGCTTCACTCTTCCTGATATTCTATTGATGGGCCTGATCTACAGTCCTGTTTAGGAAGGGAAGGAGGGAGGAGAAAGGAGGAAGTGAGGAAGGAAAGGCGGGAGGGAGGGAGGGAGGGAAGGAAGGAAGGAGAAAAGAGGGAAAGAAGAAAGGAAAGGAAGGAAGGAGAAAGGGGGGAGGGAGAAAGAAAGGAAAGGAGAGAGTGAAGGAAGGAGGGAAGGAAGGAATGAAAGAGAGGAAGGAGAAAAGAGGGAAGGAAGGAGAGGGGAAGGGAGAAAGAAAGGAGAAAGGGGTGGGAGGATTGTGTCCAATTCTGGGCACCACAATTCAAGAGAGATATTGATAAGCTGGAATGTGTCCAGAGGAGGGCGACTAAAATGATCAAGGGTCTGGAGAACAAGCCCTATGAGGAGCGGCTTAAGGAGCTGGGCATGTTTAGCCTGAAGAAGAGAAGGCTGAGAGGAGATATGATAGCCATGTATAAATATGTGAAAGGAGGGAGCAAGCTTGTTTTCTGCTTCATGGGGGCAACCGATGTCAGGGACGCGGAACAATGGCTTCAAACTACAAGAGAGGAGATTCCATCTGAACATTAGGAAGAACTTCCTGACTGTGAGAGCCGTTCAGCAGTGGAACTCTCTGCCCGGAGTGTGGTGGAGGCTCCTTCTTTGGAAGCTTTTAAGCAGAGGCTGGATGGCCATCTGTCAGGGGTGATTTGAATGCAATATTCCTGCTTCTTGGCAGAATGGGGTTGGACTGGATGGCCTATGAGGTCTCTTCCAACTCTTTGATTCTATGAGGAGGAAGAGTGAATGAGACAAAAGTTGAGGTGAAGGAGAAAGAGGAGGGAAGGGGAGAAAGGAAAGGAGGATGAAGGAAGGAAAGGAAGAAAGAGAAAGGATGGAAGGGGAAAGAAGGAGAGAAGGAAGGGGAGAAAGGGAAGGAGGAAAGGGGAATGAGGGAAGGAAGAAGGAGGGAAGGAAGGAAGGAAGGAGAAAAGAGGGAAAGAAGAAAAAGGAAGGAAGGAGAAGGGAGGGAGAAAGAAAGGGGAGAGGAAGGAAGAAGGGGAGGAGAGGGAAAAGAAAGGAAGAGGAAAGAAGGAATGAAAGGAAGGAGAAAGAGGGAAGGAAGGAAGAGGGGGAAGGAGGGAGAGAGGGAGAAAGGAAGGAAAGGAAGAAGGAAAAAGGAGGGAGAAAGAGAAGGAAGGAGAAAGGGGAAGGAAGGAAAGGGAAGGAAGGAGAGAAGAGGAGGAAGGAAAGAGGAAGGAAGAAAGAGCAAAGAAGGAAGGAGAAAGGGAAGAAGGGAGAGGGAAAGGGAAGGAAGGAGGAGAAGAAGGAAGGAGGGATGGAAGGAAGGAAGAAGGAAGGAAGGAGAGAAGAAAAGAGAAGGAAGGAAGGAGAAAAAGAGGATGGAGGGAGAGAAGGGAGAAAGGAAGGAATGAGGGAGGGAGGGAAGAAAGAAAGGAAAGAAGGGAGGGCTCACTTGACGAAATAGTTGGCCCAGGTCTTGTGGTACTTGTCCCCGGGTCTCCCTTTGAGGGTCCCGCGCCCCGTCATGGCCCCGCTGGTCTTCATCCACGTGGGGGACGTCCAGGGGCTGGCGAACAAGGAGAGGGCCCTCGGGGCCACCGCCTGGGCTTGCTGGAGGATCGGGATCTGGCGGACGAGAGTTTTTGTGGTCAGGGTAGTGCCTGGCTTTGTCATCCTGGACCAAGTTCTCCGTCCCCATCCTCACCTTCATGCTGGTGTCCTCCTCGCTCAAGCGGAAGCTCTTCAGCTCAAAGTCCTCCTCGGAGTCCGCGTAAGTGTAGAGTCGGACGGAGAAGTCGCAGCTCGCCATGGGGACGCGGACCAGGCTGTACTCGATGCCTGGAAGGAAGAAAAGACCAGGAAGAGGTTGAGAAAACGGCATTGTGGAAGGCGTCTCTGGAGGTAAGAAAACACACTTACCTTCATCGGAGAAGTAAGACTTGAGAAGGTTGGCCTGCGTCTTTGGGGAGAGCGAAAGGATGTTGATGGCGGCGGAATCGGTGAGGGCCCCTCCAAAACCCTTGATCTTTTGGTGTTTTTGGGAGGGCTTGAGTTGCAAAACAAGTCTTTCTGGTGTGTGTCAATGAGAGAGAGAAAGAGAGAGGACCATTTTTTTCATCACATAATAGTCTCACTTTTAGTTTTTCAAAATCCAAAAGGTAGAATCATCGCTACATACCATATTTCATCACGCAATAGTCGCACTTTTAATTTGTCAAAATCCAAAAGATGGAATAATTGCTACATACCATATATCATCACGTAATAGTCGCACTTTTAATTTGTCAAAATCCAAAAGATGGAATAATTGCTACATACCATATATCATCACGTAATAGTCGCACTTTTAATTTGTCAAAATCCAAATGGTGGAATAATTGCTACATAACATATTTCATCACGTAATAGTCGCACTTTTAATTTGTCAAAATCCAAATGGTGGAATAATTGCTACATAACATATTTCATCACGTAATAGTCACACTTTTAATTTGTCAAAATCTTTATAGGTGGAATAATTGCTACATAACATTTCATCATGTAATAGTTGCAGTTTTGATTTTTTCAAAATCCAGAAGGTGGAACCATTTCATCCCGTAATACTCACAATTTTAGTTTTTCAAAACCCCAAAGGTAGCATCATGGGTACATACCATATTTCATCACGTAATAGCCACACTTCTAATGCTTTTTTAATCCAAAAGGTGGTGCGACTATTATGTGAGGAAATAAAATCTGCCTTTGATTCTCCAGTTTCTGTTTCTTGAAAAAATAAACTGCCTTACCTCCGAAACAGGAGGAGGAGTGATCCAGCCTTAAACAAACAGCCCCCTTTCTGCTTCAGAGAAAGGAGGAAAGAGAAGATTCCCCCTCCCCTTCTTCCTTCTCTATCCAAAAACAAGGCAGTTTACAAAATCTGAAATTTTGTGAGGAAGGGGGAACCAGTTCCAAGCAGCTCTGCGACTATTATGCGAGGAACAAGGAAGGAAGGGGAAAGGAGATAAGGAAGGAAGGCAGGAAGAAGGGAAGGAAGGAGGCAAGGAAAGGAGGAAGGAGACATAGGTGAAGGGAGAGAGAGAAGTACGGAAGGGGGAACCAGTTCCAAGCAGCTCTGAAACTATTATGTGAGGAACAAGGAAGGAAGGGAAAAGGAGATAAAGAGGGAGGGAGGGAAGGAAGGAGGCAAGCAGAGAAGGAAGGAGACATAGGGGAAGGGGGAGAGAGAAGTACGGAAGGGGGAACCAGTTCCAAGCAGCTCTGCGACTATTATGTGAGGAACGTAACAAGGAAGGAAGGGGAAAGGAGATAAGGAAAGAAGAAAGGAAGGATGGGCGAAGGGAAAAGGAGATAAGGAGGGAGGGAGGGAAGGAAGGAAGGAGGCAAGGAGAGAAGGAAGGAGGCATAGGGGAAGGGAGAGAGAGAAAGAAAGGAGGGAAGAAAATGTGACTATTATGCAGTGGCGACTATTATGTGATGAAAGATGATATATTTTAAAAATTGACTCACCGTCCCCAGGGGCCCCTCTCCGTAGGGCCCCTTCACTCCTCCGCAGGCGCTGCCCGGCCTTGTTGCTTTCATATTTGGCGAAGGAGCCCAGGGCCGGGAGGGCCACCGGCCCCAACGTGTCACAGTAGTCAGCACCGCATTCGCACACCACCGACCCCTGGCCAAAGTCCCTGGCTGCGCATGGCTGGCCGCCTGTTAATTCGGGGGAGAGACAGAGAGAGACTGACAGCGTTTACATGAGGCCAGCACTTGCCTGGTTTCCAACAGACCCCCCAGAACCTCTGAAGATGCCAGCAACAGAGGCAGGCGAAATGTCAGGAGAGAATGCTACATGGCCAGACAGCCCAGAAAACTCACAGCACCCCAACTCTAGAAGTCTTTGATTCTAATTGGGGTCCTGAAAAAGTGGAAGGAGCAAAGGCACCTGCTTTGGGATCCCATCTACTCACCTGGCTTTGTAGCTGCAAGCTGGAGAAACAGGGCCCATGCCACGAAGCGGAGGACTCTTAGTGCCATGGCCCTGGCTTCCTCGGGATGGAGAAAACAATATGGCCGGGCTCTATGAAGGAAAGGAAGCAGGGAGGCGTTCCAGAATGGACACTAGGCTTTCTAGGGTTGCGACATTGATTACACCATGTGGCGCATGGATATGCAAGACACCCACCGGAGCGCAGCAGAGAGCAAAGGTGCGTGCGGGCGAGTCACAACTTGGAAGGAGCGTTACCTGTTCGTTAATTCATGCGTGTTACTTGTTTATACGCCACCTTTCTCTCAGGGTGGGGCCCAATTAGGAACACTTCCTCTCTAATGGCAAAGAAGTGGAGGGTGCCGCATATTAAGCATTATAAAACATCACGTCAACAATGAAAGAGTTCAAGGGAAGTGAAGCACCCGGACCCGAAGGCTCGCGCATTGAAAGATTGTTTTGTGTTGCCAAACCAAAAAGGGACATCTCTGGACTGAATGGCCCTTGGAGTCCCTTCAAACTTTAGGATTTTATGACAGATATAGAATATATAGTGTATCCTAATATATCTATGACTGGATGGCCATCTGTCGGGAAGGATCGGATGGTGTCTTTTATGGCAAATGGAAGCTGGATTGGATGGCTCTTTAGGAGCCTTCCAATTTGAGGAATCCATGACAGATATAGAATATAGTGTGTCCTTCTATCATATGTATGCCTGGATGGCCATCTGTCGGGAGGGATCGAATGCTGTCCTTTATGACAAATGGGGGATGGATTGGATGACTCTTTAGGGTCCCTTCCAACTTGAGGATTCTATGATATATCTACCATTTATATTGTTTTCTCCCTATCTATGTACCTTCTCTTCCTCGCTCAATTATATTGATAGCTGGATGGCCATCTGTCGGGAGGGATTGGATAGTGTCCTTTATGGCAAATGGGAGCTGGATTGGATGGCTTTTTAGGGTCCCTTCCAACTTGAGGAATGCATGACAGATATAGAATATAATGTGTCCTTCTGTCATATTGGTGGCTGGATGGCCATCTGTCGGGAGGGATTGAATGGTGTCCTTTACGGCAAATGGGGGATGGATTGGATGGCTCTTTGGGATCCTTCCAACTTGAAGAATGCATGACAGATATAGAATATAGTGTGTCCTTCTATCATATCTGTGGCTGGATGGCCATCTGTCAGGAAGGATCGGATGGTGTCCTTTACGGCAAATGGCGGCTGGATTGGATGGCTCTTTGGGATCCTTCCAACTTGAGGAATGCATGACAGATATAGAATATAGTGTGTCTTTCTATCATATCTGTGGCTGGATGGCCATCTGTTGGGAGGGATCAATGACAGATATAGAATACAGTGTGTCTTATCATATCTGTGGCCGGATGGCCGTCTGTCGGGAGGGATCGGATATTGTCCTTTACGGCAAATGGGAGATGGATTGGATAGCTCTTTAGGATCCTTCCAACTTGAGGAATGCATGGCAGATATAGAATATAGTGTGCCTTTCTATCATATCTGTGGCTGGATGGCCATCTGTCGGGAGGGATTGGATGGTGTCCTTTTCGGCAAGTTTGGGCTGGATTGGATAGCTCCTTATGGTCCTTTCTAAGTTGAGGATTCCATGACAGATATGTCATTGAATATAGTGTGTCCTTATATCATATCTATGATGGGATGGCCATCTGTCGGGAGGGATCGGATGGTGTTTATGGCAGAAGGGGGTTGGATTGAATGGCCCTTGGGGTTGTCTTCCAACTCTAGGATTCTATTATATATAATTTATATTGTTTTCTCCCTATCTATGTATCTTCTCTTCCTTGCAAAATTATATTGATAGCTGGATGGCCATCTGTCAGGAGGGATTGGAAGGTGTCTTCTATCCATCTACCTCCTTCTCTGGCCATCTGTCAGGAGGGCTTTGATAGTGCTTTTCCTGCCTGGCAGAAGGGGGTGAACTGGATGGCCTTCTTTGGGGCCTATCTATCTATCTTGGAAGAAGGGGGTTGGACTAGATGGCCTTTAGGGATCCCTTCAGACTCAAAGAATTTATGGCTCTCTACTTGGAGATTCAACGTCTTTGGGGTTCGTCTCTGGATCGTTCCAAGAATGTCCTCCTTGCGAAACCTTCCCAGCTTGTCCCAGTTTGGTGGTTGCGACAAGCGGGGTGCGCACCTGTGGGTGGCGGCGCGTGGGAGGGACACACCTTTCCCTGGCACAAGGCGTGCGTGCCGCAAGCAAGCAAGCGTGAGGCCCGGCCGTGGATGGAGCAAGGCCTCATCCGCTAAGGTCTCCTTCTCCAAAGGAAGCCCAGATCAGCTTTGGAGGAGAAGGAGAAAGAGAAGAGCCACCCGGGGAGCCACACAGAACCCATGGGGGTGGAAGGGGCCCCAAAGAAGGCCATCCAGTCCAACCCCCTTCTGCCATAACAGATAGATAGATACTAGATAGATAGATGCATAGATAGATCCATAGATGCATAGATAGATGCATAGAAAGATGCATAATTAGATAGATACATTGATAGATAGATACATTGATAGACAGACAAATAGCATCCTAGAGTTGGAAAGGGACCCAAAGAAGGCCATCCAGTCCAACCCTCTTCTGCCATAACAGATGGATGGATGGATGGATGGAAGGAAGGAAGGAAGGATAGGAGGATAGATAGATGGATGGATGGAACGATAGAAGAATGGATGGAAGGAAGGATGGATGGATGGAAGGAAGGATGGGAGGACGGACGGACGGACGGACGGAAGGATGGATGGATGGATGGAAGGAAGGAAGGAAGGAAGAGAAGGATGGATGGATGGATGGATGGATGGATGGATGGATGGATGGATGGATGGATGGATAGATGGATGGATAGATGGATGGATGGATGGATGGATGGATGGATGGATGGATGGATGGATGGATGGATGGATAGAAGGATAGGAGGATAGATGGATGGAAGGAAGGGTGGAAGGATAGAAGAATGGATGGATGGATGGATGGATGGATGGATGGATGGATGGGTGGGTGGGTGGGAGGATGGATGGATGGATGGATGGATGGATGGATGGATGGGAGGATAGATGGATGGATGGAAGGATAGAAGGATGGATGGATAGAAGGATAGGAGGATAGATGGATGGAAGGAAGGGTGGAAGGATAGAAGAATGGATGGAAGGAAGGATGGATGGATGGAAGGATAGGAGGATAGATGGATGGAGGGATGGATGGGGGGATGGATAGATGGAAGGATGGATGGATGAAGGAAGGATGGAAGATAGGATGGATGGATGGATGGAAGAAGGATGGATAGATAGATAGATAGAAGATAGACATAGATAGATAGATAGATAGATAGATAGATGATAGATAGTAGATAGATAGAATAGATAGATAATATAATACATACATACATACATACATACATACATACACAGGTAAACAAATAGTATCCTAGTGTTGGAAGGGGTCCTCAGAGGCCATCCAGTCCAGCCTCCTTCTACCATAATAGATACATGGATAGACAGACAAATGGTACCCTAGAGTTGGAGGGGGCCCCCAAAGAAGGCCATCCAGTCCCACCCCCTTCTGCTCAGGATGTTTCCTGCCTGTTTCCGCCTGGAAGATGCAATGGGGCGCTCCCTTCCTCCTCCTCCTCGTCCTCCTCCTCCTCCTCCTCCATGGGGCCTCCTTATCTCCGGCATCCCTGGCTGAGACACTCCTTGGCACCCGGTTTGGCAGGATTGGCAATTGGGCACAAACACGAAAGAACGCAGCGGCGGGAAGGGCCTTCAATGCACATCATTTGAAGAGACCCCCAAAGGATATCCAGCCTGCTGGGCAGGGAAGACCCCACCAAAACCCTCCCGACAGATGTCCCGACTGTCTGTACCTCTCAATCCAGAGCCGGGAAACCTGTTTGTGGATTTAACGGGCCGATTGCAACACATGCGTCTGGAATGTGTACATAATTCATCTCTTATAATAATACACAAATATATAATGTCTACATCATCATCATGATCATTATTCCAATAATAATAATTAATTAACCTCTTGGATGACCCCTTTGGCCACCTTCTACCCTCTTTCCATTGTCCAGGATGGATAGTAGGTAGATAGATAGATAGATAGATAGATAGATAGATAGATAGATATTTGCAACTCACCTGCTGTGACCGAGAGGTCTCTCCAGTCGATGTTGATCCCGGAGTGTGTCTTGCTGAATGTGTCTTGCTGAGCGCAATCAAGATCCAGGATCCTGATCAGCAGGAAGATCCACCCGGCTCTCCATGCGTAATGCTCCTGCTCCGGCTAAAGGCTCAAAGGACTCTCCGGGAGCCCCAAAGGACATCCAGCCCAACCCCGACATACAGGAATCCTTTTTCTTAATCATCCCTTTTCACTTTAATTCCAGATTATTATTATTATTATTATTATTATTATTATTATTATTATTATTTTAATAGCTGCTGTTGTTTTTATTTGTAAACAGTCTGCTCTGATACAAAGATTCTATTATTCTATTCAGCTAGCTATTCCTCTGGATGGCCATCTCTCAGGAGGGATTGAATTGTGCGGATGGATGGATAGACTATGATGGCAGAAGGGGTGGACTAGATGGCCTTCTTTGGGGTCCCTTCCAACTAAGAGCCTGCCTAACTATCTCCTTCTGTGGATGGCCATCTATCGGGAGGGATTGAATTGTATCTATCTGTCTTATCTATCTCCTTCTCTGGATGGCTATCTATCGGGAGGGATCGAATTGTGTGTTCTTACCTATCTATCTGTCTATCTCCTCTGTGTGGTCATCTATCGGGAGGGATTGAATTGTATCTATCTGTCTTATCTACTTCTCTAGATGGCTATCTATCAGGAGGGATCAAATTGTGACTATCTATCTATCTACTCTGTGTGGCCATCTATCAGGAGGGATCAAACTGTGTCTTCCAATCTATATATCTCCTTCTCTGGATGGCTATCTATCAGGAAGGATCAAATTGTGACTTCCTATCTATCTATCTATCTATCTATCTATCTATCTCCTTCTCTGGATGGCTATCGGGAGGGAGGGATTGAATTGTGTGTTCTTATCTATCTGTCTGTCTCCTCTGTGTGGCCATCTATCAAGAGGGATCAAATTGTGTCTTCCTATCTATCTATCTATCTATCTATCTATCTATCTATCTATCTATCTATCTATCTCCTTCTCTAGATGGCTATCTATCAGGAGGGATCGAATTGTGTCTTCCTATCTATCCATCTCCTCTGGATGGCCATCGATTGGGAGGGTTTGAATTGTGTCTTCCTATCTATCTATCTATCTATCTATCTATCATCTATCTATCTATCTATCTATCTATCATCTATCTATCTACCTATGTCCTTCTCTGGATGGCTATCTGTTGGGAGGGATTGAATTGTGTCTATCTATTTATCTCCTATGGATGGCCATCTGTTGGGAGAGATTGAATTGTATCTATCTACCTACCTACCTACCTACCTACCTATGTCCATCTCTGGATGGCCATCTGTTGGGAAAGATCGAATTGTGTCTTATCTATTTATCTCCTATGGATGGCCATCTGTCGGGAGGGATTAAATTGTATCTCTCTCTCTACCTATCTCCGTCTCTGGATGGCTATCAATTGGGAAGGATCGAATTGTGTCTATTTATTTCCTATGGATGGCCATCTGTCAGGAGAGATTGAATTGTATCTACCTATGTCCTTCTCTGGATGGTCATCTGTTGGGAGGGATTGAATTGTGTCTATCTATTTATCTCCTATGGATGGCCATCTGTCGGGAGGGATTGAATTGTATCTCTCTATCTCTCTCTCTCTCTATCTACCTGTGCCCTTCTCTGGATGGCTATCTATTGGGAAGGATCAAATTGTGTCTATCTCCTATGGATGGCCATCTATTAGGAGAGACTGAAATCTATCTATCTATCTATCTATCTATCTATCTATCTATCTATCTATCTATCTATCTATCTATCTATCTATCTATCTTATGTATCTATCTATCTATCTATCTATCTATCTATCTATCTTATGTATCTATCTATCTATCTATCTATCTATCTATCTATCTATCTATCTTATGTATCTATCTATCTATCTATCTATCTATCTTATGTATCTATCTATCTATCTATCTCCTTCTGTGGATGGCTATCTATCAGGAGGGATGGAATTGTGTCTTCCTATCTATCTATTTATGTATCTATCTATGTATCCATCCATCTCCTTCTCTGGCCATCTGTCAGGAGGGCTTTGATCCTGCTTTATTTATTTATTTATTTATTTATTTATTTACTCCATTTGTATACCGCATTTATCAGCCTGGAGCGGCGACTCAATGCGGTTTACAGTAAAAATAAACAGTGAACAATAAATAAGACGCACATCGACAAACAATACACATAATCATCAACGCCTACTTAGAATCAGATCCCGTTCTCATAGTCCTTAATTCAATCCTTGTTCAATGCCGTCATTATTGGGTGGTTGTTACCTCATAGCTAACCGAATGCCTGCTCATAGAGCCACGTCTTAACCCTCCTTCGAAACACCAGCAACGAAGGGGCCTGCCTGATGTCCACTGGTAACGCATTCCATAGCCGAGGGGCCACTACCGAGAAGGCCCTGTCTCTCGTGCCCGCCAGCCGCACTTGTGACGCTGGCGGGACCGAGAGCAGGGCCTCCCCGGACGATCTTAACGCTCTTGCCGGTTCATAGGTGGAGATGCGTTCGGAGAGGTAAGTGGGGCCGGAACCGTGTAGGGCTTTATAGGCTAAAGCCAGCACCTTAATTGTGCTCGGTAGCAAATTGGCAGCCAGTGGAGCTGGTTCAACAGGGGGGTGGTATGCTCCCTGAGAGCCGCTCCCGTTAGCAACCTGGCTGCCGAGCGCTGGACCATCTGAAGCTTCCGGGCAGTCTTTAAGGGCAACCCCACGTAGAGCGCGTTGCAGTAATCTATACGGGATGTGACAAGAGCGTGGACTACCGTGGCCAAGTCCGACCTCCCAAGATACGGGCGCAGCTGGCGCACAAGCCGAAGCTGTGCAAATGCTCCTCTGGAAACCGCCTGAAACCTGGGGTTCCAGGCTCAGCGATGAGTCCAGGATCAGACCCAAGCTGCGAACCTCCGTCTTCAGGGGGAGTGCGACCCCGTCCAACACAGGCTGTAACCCTATGCCCTGTTCGGCCTTGCGACTAACCAGGAGTACCTCTGTCTTGTCTGGATTGAGTTTCAATTTGTTTGCTCTCATCCAGACTATCACAGCGGCCAAGCACCGGTTCAGGACCTGGACAGCCTCCTTAGAAGTGGGTGGAAAGGAGTGACAGAGTTGGACGTCATCTGCGTACAGATAACACCGCACCCCGAAACTCCGGATGATCTCTCCCAACGGCTTCATGTAGATGTTAAATAACATGAAGCCTGGCCAAAGATGGTCGGACTGGATGTCCTTCGGGGGTCCCTCTTCCAATCCTTGGGAGTCTTTGATTCCATAGCCTTATTTCTCCACAAACCCGGTCATGCCTATGAGGCTGTCTGGCCATCTGTCGGGAGGGATCTGATGTAAAGTACTGTATTGCTTGAGAGCCACGCTGCAATGCTCGGGAACGGCCATTGGAGGGCGAGAGAGAGCAAGCACGCCTCAGAAAGCTGGGCCTGCCCCTAGATATAGGAAAGGGAAGAGTGCCAAGTCCAGAGGGAGAAGCCATTTCCATTGAGAAATCTTGTACTTTCTCCATCCCCGCCTCCTTGACGCATGCGCAGTGTCACCGTTCCTGTCCCATCCAAGCATGCGTAGAGGAACCATTTGTCACTCAGTCCCTCACTGTCTTAACGCATGCGCAGTGACACCGTTCTGATGTCTCCTATAACGCCGGATCCTTTAACGCATGCGCAGTGGCACCATCCTGTCAGTCCAGTCCTCTCGCTTTCAACGCATGCGTAGTGGCACCGCTTGGTCAGTCGAGCCAGTTTCTTTTAACGCATGCGCAATGGCATCATTCTTATTACTCGGTCCACCTGTCTCCTTTAACGCATGCGCAGTGGCACCGTCTTGTGGTCGTTTCTTTCAACGCATGCGCAATGGCATCATTCTTATTCCTCGGTCCAGCTTAGTCTCCTTTAACGCATGCGCAGTGGCAACGTTTTATCTAGCCGTTTCTTTCAACGCATGCGCAATGGTACTATTCTTATTACTCGGTCCAGCTTAGTCTCTTTCAACGCATGCGCAGTGGCGCCGTTCTGTCAGTCTCGTTTCTTTCAACGCATGCGCAATGAATTCATTTTATTACTCGGTCCATGCGCAATGGCATCATTCTTATTACTCTGTCCAGCTTAGTCTCCTTTAACGCATGCGCAGTAGCACCGTTTTGTCTCGTTTCTTTCGACGCATGCGCAATGGCATCAGTCATACTCGGTCCAGCTTAGTCTCCTTTAACGCATGCGCAGTGGCACCGTTTTGTGTCGTTTCTTTCAACGCATGCGCAATGGCATCAGTCATTTTCGCTCCAGGTTCGTCTCCTTTAACGCATGCGCAGTGGTACCGTTTTGTCTCGTTTCAACACATGCGCAATGGCATCATTATTACTCGGTCCAGATTCGTCTCCTTTAACGCATGCGCAGTGGTACCGTTTTGTCTAGTTTCAACACATGCGCAATGGCGTCATTATTACTCGGTACAGATTCGTCTCTTTTAACGCATGCGCAGTGGCACCGTTTTGTCTAGTTTCTTTCAACGCATGCGCAATGGCATCATTCTTATTACTCGGTCCGGATGAGTCTCCTTTAACGCATGCGCAGTGGCACAGTTTTGTCTTGTTTCTTTCAACGCATGCGCAATGGCATCCTTATTACTCGGTCCAGATGAGTCTCCTTTAACGCATGCGCAGTGGCACCGTTTTGTCTAGTTTCAACACATGCGCAATGGCATCATTATTACTCGGTCCAGATTCGTCTCCTTTAACGCATGCGCACTGGCAGCGTTTCAGTCCTTCAGTTTCTTTTAACGCATGCGCAGCAGCACTATTCTGGTTAATCGGGCCTGTTTCGTCTCCTAGACGCATGCGCGGTGTCACAATGGTGTCCTCGCTTGTCCCGCCCCTCCCCCTTAACGCATGCGCAGTGTCGACGCCGCCTCCGCCATTTTGCCGGGCTTCGTCTGAGGGGAGTGTGGAGAACGAGGCCGGAGCCGAAAGGGAAGAGAGAGCGAGAGAGAGGGGCAAGGGGAGGCGGAGTTCGGACTAGAGGAGGACACGGAGACCGCCACCATCTTTGCGTTCGGGGCGCCCGAGCGGGGAGGGGGCCGGGCCAAGCCTGAGCGGAGCCTCCCGCCGCCGCCGCCGCCTCTCCCCGCAGAGCCCGGCCAGGCCGAAGCCAGCCAGGCCCGAGCCCGACGGTGAGACCCCCGGGGGGGAGGGGAGGGGAGGGGGGCTGAGGGGAGGCAGCCCACGTGACCCGCGCCCAGGCCCCGCCCCCTCCTTCAGGTAGGAAGGCACCATTCGATCCCTCCCGGTAGATGGCCACACAGAGAAAATAGATAAATAAATAGGAAGACACGATTCGATCTCTCCAGATAGATGGCCATCCAGAAAAGATAGATAGGTAGATAGATAACAAGACGCAATTCAATCCCTCCAGATAGATGGCCATACAGAGAAAATAGATAGATAGGAAGACACGATTCGATCTCTCCAGATAGATGAATAAAATGTATCTTAATATATAATAATATAATATATTATATATTTGGTTATATATATAATGGTGAAAATACATTGCTAGAAGTAAAAAGATGATAACGTTTATCAAAATAAATTGAGAATATTAAAATGAATAAAATGTAGCTTAATATTTTTATATATATATATATATATATATAATGGTGAAATTACATTGCTAGAAGTAAAAAGATAACATTTATCACAATAAATTGAGAGCATTAAAATGAATAAAATGTAGATTAATGTATAATAATATTATATATAATAATATATATAATAATAGAATAAAATATAGAGAATATGTTGGTCTTTTATTTTTCATCAATATTGTCTTGTCTAAAAATATTATGCTCATTTTATTGAGGGTTTCCAAATGCTGGCTGAATCTCCTTTTCGTTGGTCTTTTGCAGATTCTGGGGACCTGAGATGGCCGCGCCGTCAGCGCCGAAGGTCGTGCTTAAGAGCACCACCAAGATGTCCCTCAACGAGCGGTGAGGAACCCAACGGCCAACTTCAGCTCATAAGATTTTTATTTTTAATTTTTTAAAACATTTTGGCTTAATTGTCCCTGGGTGCGGCATCCGGCGCCGCCATGGCCGTTGCCCTGCCGTTAATCGGCCCCGACGCCAAGGAGCGGGGGGGCAGAAGCCTTAAACCCCGCGGCCGACGGCAGGGGCCTCGCGAGGTTAAAAAAAAAGGGCCGGCGTGTCTTGTCGGAGGATAAGTGGTGGGATGTGTCTCTTCCACATGTGTTCACCTTTGATATGCATAGATACCTCTAGGCGGCCCCGCAGCGGGGTAGCATGTCACCTCGGCTGCGGGAGGCCGGCGGCCGTGTCCGAGGCGGACGCACGACTTGTGCGGTCCGGCCTGTAAGAGGCAGGCGGCCGGCCGTTCTGATGCGCCCGGAGGCCCATTGGCGCCGCCCTTGGGCCTTGTAAGAGGCAAGTGCTCTGCTGCTCCATCCGTCCTTCCCGCTCCCTCCTTCCTGCTCCCTTCTGCATGCTGCCTTCCCTTGCTTCTCCTCTCCGTTGTGTTCGTACATCTCTGTGTCCGACTAACGGGTGAAGTCTACACTGCATTGTCTTTCTTTGCAACATTATCCTTCAACTGAACTGTCTTCTGTAGCAAATGCTTGAGACCTGGTTCCAAAAGCAGGCCTGGAAAGGGAGGCAGCGAGGATTAGGGTAGTAGGCCTGGTATCGTAGAAGTATAGACCTCACCCCGAAGGGGACTCAGAGCGGCTTACAAGATAGATATACATACAATATATTAAATTAGTAGCATAGTTTTGGAGTTGTAGTTCACCTACATCCAGAGAGTACTGTGGACTCAAACAATGATGGATCTGGGCCAGACTTGGCACAAATACTCAATATGTCGAAATGTGAACACTGGTGGAGATTAGGAGAAACAGACCTTGACATTTGTGAGTTATAGTTGCTGGGATTTGTAGTTCACCTGCAGTCAAATAGCATTCTGAACCCCACCAACATGAGAATTGAGCCAAACTTCCCACACTGAACCCCCATGACTAAGAAAATACTGTGTTTTCTGATGGTCTTTGGCAACCCCCCCCCCCCCCCCCCCCCCCCCCCCCCCGATACCCCCTCATGACCCCTAGGGGTCCCGACCCCCAGGTTGAGAAACACTGCTCTACAGTTTTTATATTCCGCCCTTCTCACCCCGCAGGGGACTCAGGGCGGATTACAATGCACATATACATGGCAAACATTCAATGCCATGGATACACAACATATATAGACAGACAGAGAGGCAATTTAACATTCCAGCTTTCTGGCTTCATGAGGGTATGCTCAATTCCAGCCACAGGGGGAGCTGCTGCTTCACCCTCCTTGATGAAGTACTTCCTCATTCTTACGCACGCTGCTGGAAGGTTTTATGGTGTCGTAAATTAGTTAAATCATCTTTTCCGCATAAAGCGGTACCTAAATTTCCTACTTGACAGATGCAACTGTCTTTTGGGCTGCATAGGTCAACTGCAAGCTAGACTATTAATGGTCGGGAGCTCACTTGAACTCATGGCCTCTCGGTCAGTAGTGATTTAATGCAGCTGGCTACTAACTAGCTGCGCCACACAGTTTTGCCATTCATGCTCCATTAAGAGCAGCATAGTCACAATTTAGAAATATTTGGGTATTGAAAAAAAACAAACGAGTTTTTGTCAAATGTAGTATTAGGATTCTGCAGTTTTAGGCCCAAAATATAGCAATTCCCAGTCTCAGCCCACTTTGCCAGAGCAGAGGATTGTGACTTGTGGGATATTTATTTTATTTATTTACGACATTGATATGCTGCCCTTCTCGCCCCGAAGGGGACTCAGAGCGGCTTACAAGATATATATACATACAATGTATTATATTATTAGCACACTACAATATCAGTATTAAATACTACTATATTGTACTATACCATTTTATTGTAATATTGTAATATTACTAATCATATTGTAATATTATTAGTAATATTACATGTAATCTATATAAATAAAAATGTAATGTTCGTTTGTGGGATTAACAGAACTCAAAAACCACTGGATGAATTGACACCAAATTTGGACACAAGACACCTAACAACCCAATGTATGTCCTTCACTCAAAAAAATTGATTTTGTCATTTGGGAGTTGTAGTTGCTGGGATTTATAGTTCACCTACAATCAAAGAGCATTCTGAACCCCACCAACGATGGAATTGAACCAAACTTGGCACACAGTTCTCCCATGACCAACATAAAATACTGGAAGGGTTTGGTGGGCAGTGTCCTTTGGTTTTGGAGTTGTAGTTCACCTACATCCAGAGATCACTGTGGACTCAAACAATGATGGATCTGGACCAAACTCTACACGAATACTCAATATGCCCAAATGTGAACACTGGTGGAGTTTGGGGAAAATAGAATCTTGACATTTGGGAGTTGTAGTTGCTGGGATTTATAGTTCACCTACAATCACAGAGCATTCTGAACCCACCAACGATAGAATTGGGCCAAACCTCCCACACAGAACCCCCATGTGGGCCACAGCAACGCGTGGCAGGGGATGGCTAGTAAATAATAAATGTAATAATAATAACAACAACAATAACAGAGTAAAATAATAAATAACCTTGACTCGAGTATAAGCCGAGGGGGACATTTTCAGCTTGAAAAAAAGGGCTGGAAAACTAGGCTTATAGTCAAGTATCTACAGTATATACATACAATATATTATATTATTAGCATAGTACAATATCAGTATTAAATATTACTATATTGTACTATACCATTATATTGTAATATTACAATATAATGGTATATTGTAATATTATTAGTAACGTACATATATAATTATAATATCATATCTAGTTTGAATTGGCAAACCTTTCTTCTCCAGCTCCCTATCTTGGCTGCTAAGGTTCTGGTTTAAATCCGCTCTGCTTTCCTTCCTCTCAGTGTTTGTCTTCCTTTGTTGTCACCATTTCCGCTTCCCGCTTTGTGTGTCTCCGTCTCTGCTTTGGTTTCTTTGGACCTCTCTAAAGGTTTTAATACACGGCACTAACCCACACCTCTTGAATGTTCTGTCTTTGCACATTTTCTGGAGAAAGAGAGAAATTGAGCCAATATATATATATCTATATCTACCTTGACCAAACCCTTGTAACGTGCTTAACGTGACCTCTTTTTAAGTGTGTCCCACGTAACGGTTCATGGGATGCGCCCGCCCTGCTCTTAAGAAAGGGCGGTGAGGTGCCGGTTGAGATGCCTTTGTAACGAAACTTTCTTTAAACACCCGTTTTGTTCGACCTTGAAGCTTTACTAATATGCTGAAGAACAAGCAGCCGATCCCTGTGAACATTCGCGCCACCATGCAGCAGCAGCAGCTAGCCAGCGCCCGAAACAGGAGGCTGGCCCAGCAGATGGAGAACAGACCTTCTGTCCAGGCCGCCTTGAAGCTCAAGCAGGTGAGGCCAAGGCCGGAGAGACCCTCGAGGCCCCTCTCCCCAGTGCTCTTTTCCAAGCCTCGGAGTTGCACAGAGGTGTAAAGACAGCGGCATGCTGTTGGGATCTGGACACAATCAGTTGTGTGGCTTGGGTACCTGGCGAGGCCTGGGTTCAGTGTTTTGTAAGGAAAAGTCATGGTTTGCGTTTGGATTTTATGAATGGCCTGATTGGAAGGTGAAAAAGAATCCACACAGCCCTATATCCCAGAATATCAAGGCAGAAAATCCCACATTGTGTGGACTCGGATAACCCAGTTCAAAGCAGATATTGTGGGATTTTCTGCCTTGATATTCTGGGATATAGGGCTGTGTGGAAGGGCCCTGGGTTAACTACAACTCCTGGCATTGTGGGTCAGTTTCCTCCAGACCCCGCCAGTACATACGGTCTCCAAGTTATGAACAAGAGAGGTTCTTTAGTTGAATTTGTATGTAAACTCAACACGAAAGCACATGGGAGCAGATACCGGCTCCAAGCCTCCTGTTCATTCGTTTCTTTCGTTCATTCAGGGACATGGAACGAGAAGGCCCTACCTGGTATAAAAATAAACCTGACACAAAAGCAGGTGGGAGTGCGTACCGGCTCCAAGCTTCCTGTTTCATTCGTTTCTTTAGTTCCTTTGGGGCACAGAACAGGAAGGCCCTTCCTGGTACGCAAATAAACTTGACATGAAAGCAGGTGGGAGCGGGTACTGGCTCTAAGCCTCCTGTTTCTTTCGTTCACCCGGGGGCATGGAATGGGAAGGCCCTTCCTGGTACAAAAATAAACTCGATACCAAAGCAGGTGGGAGCGGGTACCAGCTCCAAGTCTCCTGTTTTATTAGTTTTTCGTTCATTCGGGAGCATGGAACGGGAAGGCCCTTCCTGGTACAAAAATAAACTCGACACAAAAGCAGGTGGGAGTGGGTACCAGCTCCAAGCCTCATGTTTCATTCGTTTCTTTTGTTCATTTGGGAGTATGGAACAGGAAGGCCCTTCCTGGTACAAAAATAAACTCAACACGAAAGCAGGTGGGAGCCGGTACTGGCTCTAAGCCTGCTTTTTGGTATCAAAGTTACAGAGAGAAGAGGGATTTCGCTCAGGGTGAAAACTGGCCAGCTCCCCTGCCATTTCTCACTGCTGTTTTGCCCTTCACTACAAGGAGATTGCGCATGTGTGGTGTGCAGACCCAGAAAGCACCCACACCTGCCAGTGCCTTTCTGGGCCTGCGTGGTTGTGGGGCGGTACTTACTTTGTAAGTAGTTGTTGTTCTCCGGAAACTTCTGTTTTTGTGGCTCCAACAAACTATGTTGAATTGGTTTGAGAATCAGTGAGATAGTCATTAGAAAACTATAGCAAATTGGGTTGCGGTGAGTTTTCTGGGCTGCCTGGCTATGTTCCAGAAGCATTCTCTCCTGACGTTTGGCCCACATCTATGGCAGGCATCCTCAGAGGTTGTGGAGTCTGTTGGAAACTAGGAACATTGGGTTCATATATGTGTGAGAGAAAGGACACTTGTCTACTGGAGGCAAATGTAAATGTTGCCATGGGTCACCTTGATTAGCATTGAATGGCCTTGTAGCTTCAAAGCTTGGCTACTTCCTGCAGGATGTCTCACATAAGAAAAGTTTTGGCAGTTGAGTAAACATCTTCCATGTTTTCATAATGGAACTAATTAGGAAGTGACATCTGGAGGAGGGCCACATAAAAGGACACAGAGGGCTGGATTCGGCCCGCGGGCCATTCTTTGACATCTTTGGACTAATGTAAGAAGTGCGCTTTCACGGCCTTCCAATATTTGGCAGCAACAGTTTTGGCTCAGTCTTTTCTCCACAGCTCTTTATGAACACCTTGGTGCTGAGCTTCTTGTTCTGTCCCTCGGTGGGCTTTCTCCCGGGGGCCCTCTTGCTTGTTGGTGTGCAGCCCTTCCCTCTCTAACACTCCCTTCTTCCAGAAGAGCCTGAAACAGCGCCTGGGGAAGAGCAACATCCAGGCACGCTTGGGACGGCCGGCGGGGCCCCTGATGCGCGGCGCGTTGGGGGGCCGAGGGTTGCCCATGGGCCAGCGTGGTTTGCCTCGAGGAGCCTTGCGCGGCGGTGGGCGCGGAGCCAGAGGCTTGCTGCGCGGAGGGATCCCCCTGAGAGGTGAGTGCCGGCTGTGGCCCCAGGCTGTGGAAGGATACCCATTTGAGGCCATGGCACCCGATAGAGCTAATACTGCATGTAATATAAAATATATAAGTATAATATCGTATTGTTATTAGTAGTATTATACTGTATTACATTATAATATTGTCAATATTATATGTATGCATATACAATATATTATGTCTTCCTGGCCCCCTCTCTTCACTCTGATCCCAGAGCATTATTATTATTATTATTATTATTATTATTATTATTATTATTATTATTATTATATTAGCATTGTGCAGGAGACAAGGTGGAACTCTCTTCCTGGCCCCCTCTCTTCACTCTGATCCCAGAGCAGCAGTTGTAGTAGTAGTAGTAGTAATAATAATAATAATAATAATAATAATAATAATAATAACAACAACAACAAACAACATTATTATATTATATTATATTATATTATATTATATTATATTATATTATTAGCACAGTGCAGGAGACAAGGTGGAACTGTCTTCCTGGCCCCCTCTCTTCACTCTGATCCCAGAGCAAGAGTTGTTGTTGGTGTTATTATTATTATTTTAATAGCACTGTGCAGGAGACAAGGTGGAACTCTCTTCCTGGCCCCCTCTCTTCACTCTGATCCCAGAGCAGCTGCAGTTGTTGTTGTTGTTGTTATTATTATTATTATTATTATTATAAGCACAGTTCAGGAGACAAAGTGGAACTGTCTTCCTGGACCTCTTTCTTCACTCTGATTCCAGTGCCGCAGTTGTTGTTGATGTTGTTGTTGTTGTTATTAACACAGTGCAGGAGACAAAGTGGAACTGTCTTCCTGGCCCCCTCTTCACTCTGATCCCAGAGCAGCAGTTGTAATAATAATAATAATAATAATAATAATAATCAACAACAACAACAACAGCAACAACAACAACATTATATTATATTATATTATATTACATTATATTATTAGCACAGTGCAGGAGACAAGGTGGAACTGTCTTCCTGGCCCCCTCTCTTCACTCTGATCCCAGAGCAGCAGCAGTTGTTGTTGTTGTTGTTGTTGTTATTATTATTATTATTATTATTATTATTATTATTATTATATTAGCACAGTGCAGGAGACAAAGAGGCACACTCTTCCTGGACCCCTCTCTTCACTCTGATCCCAGAGCAGCAGCAGCAGCAGCAGTAGTAGTATTAGTAGTTGCAATTATTATTATTATTATTATTATTATTATTATTATTAGCACAGTGCAGGAGACAAAGCGGAACTGTCTTCCTGGCCCCCTCTCTTCACTCTGATCCTAGATTATATTATATTATATTATATTATATTATATTATTAGCACAGTGCAGGAGACAAAGAGGAACTCTCTTCCTGCCCCCTCTCTTCACTCTGATCCCAGAGCAGCAGTTGTTGTTGTTATTATTATTATTATATTATATTATATTATATTATATTATTAGCACAGTGCAGGAGACAAAGAGGAACACTCTTCCTGGCCCCCTCTCTTCACTCT